TCGTATGAATTTTTTAGTACCACTAATGTTATTAAAAACCCTATTTGCACCAGAGATATATGCATGTTCCCTTATCCTTGTAATTCGAATAGTTCATGCAGTGGAATAAAACTAAATATGAAAAGAGGAACTTATCTACTTGAAGTTTGGGGGGCTCACGGAGGATACCCACAACCTGAAGAAAAACTTTATGGAGGATATAGTTATGCACTTGTTGACTTTCCGAAAGATCAAACAATACATCTTTATATAGGCGGAATAGGTGAATATTATAATGGAAATGATAGAGTGACATATAGAGCATTTAATGGATGAGGTTCTGGGTGTAGATATGGCGGTGGCGGTGCTACAGATTTCAGAGTTGATACTAATCTTAACTCTAGATTTTTAATTGCTGGTGGTGGTGCACATAGAATATTTTATAATGAGCATGATACTGGTGGAGGAATTAAATCTACATTCCCACAAGGGAATTTTTTTGGGAATGGGAGAAGTTATTCTAAATTTTCAGATTGCGATAACACAGACTCTGAATATGATTCTTGCGGAGGTGGAGGTGGTCTATATGGTGGAGATTCTGGAAAAGGAGGTTCTGGTTTTGTTTATCCAACAAGAAAACCCCCTTCCATTAGAGAAATAACTGAACTTTCTGTGATTGAAGGACAAACATTTAGTGGACTGAACTATTATTTAGAAGGAAGAGCACAAATTTCACTATATTCTAATGATGAAATGATTATATCTGAGTTTTCCAATGAAATTCTCAGAGATGAAAACAATTTGAATTAAAACGATTATCTTATCTTACTAAATGACACTGTTTTGGTTCTTCAAGATTGTATATGGAGTACAAACAGAAACCTTTTTTGGATCGTATGAATTTTTAAGTTCATCTAATGTTGTGAAAAATCCTGTTTGCATTAAAGATCTATGCGTATTTCCTTATCCCTGCAATTCAAATGCTTCATGCAGCGGAATAAAACTGAATATGAAAAAGGGAACTTATCTACTTGAAGTTTGGGGTGCCCATGCTGGAAACTCGTATGGACCTTACGAAAAGGTTTATGGTGGGTATAGTTATGGTCTTGTTGACTTTCCTAAAGATCAAGCAATACATCTTTATATAGGTGGAATAGGTGAATATTATACTGGAGATGATAGAGTGACATATAGAGCATTTAATGGATGAGGTTCTGGGTGTAGATATGGCGGTGGCGGTGCTACAGATTTCAGAGTTGATACTAATCTTAACTCTAGATTTTTAATTGCAGGCGGTGGTGCATATAGAGATTGTAATTCAGTAGATCCATCAGAATATTATTTGGGTGGGGGATTTAAATCCATTTATGGATATACAGAACGTTTTGGAAAAGGGGTCAGTATTGAAAATGTCTGCACTAATAATCCGTGGTGCTATTCAGGCGGTGGTGGAGGTCTTTATGGCGGAGATTATGGCCAAGGAGGTTCGGGTTTTGTTTATCCGATAAGAAAACCTCCTTCAATAAGAGATATAACTGAGTTCTCAGTGCTAACAGGTGAATCATTTACTGGTTTGAACTCTTTTATTGAAGGGAGAGCTCAAATATCATTGTATTATAATGATAATTCGCAATGTTCTGTAAATCAAAAGACTTGTCCTTTCCGTGAATCATTTAATTATAGGAGACATCGATGAGGTTAATCAATATTTACTTTTTGAAATAAAATTTCAATTTAAATTAAAGTATTTTGAAAACAAGTTTGAATTTCGTAATTATTTTTTAAATCACTAAATGCAAACTAAACACTTTGGTATCGCAAATCTTATGATTAAAGATTCTTACTGTAAATCATATTAATCTGCTAAATTGAAGTTTTGAAATTGGATAATTTGGATCAAATTGAGAAAATAAATATGGATTTATTCCAGATATCATATTTAGGCTGTTAGATTTGATTTTAAAAATGTTGTTTGCTTCGAAAAATTGAACTTTTGTTCTCATCAAATGAAAAAGTGACATAAATTCATAAGAGAGCTATCATGATGTAAAATCATCATGAGGATTCTTAATTATGAATGGACGACATAAATTTAATTACAAAAGGTTTATTAACGTAATTTTGGCCATGAAATATTAAAAATTTTCTGAGTTCTTTTAAAAGTGTGCCTTCACTCCGAGGTGTTACCTACTGCATTTAATTTGAATTTTTATCAAAAGTCAAAGGACAATTTTTGCAAAAATTCGTGACTTGAAACAACTATGTAAAATTCAATTATATCCACTGTCTGGTGAAAGATCAAAGGTTTGTTATAGAACTAAGAGAGAAGTCTTTCATTTATTGTTTGTTATTGGACATAAATCGCATATGATTTTTTGACTTTTTTTTGTTCGAATTTTTTATCCTTATTTCTCATAATATATTTTGTTATTCGATCAATATCATTTACCCCATCCATTACTGTTAAAAAGATATTACTTAATTATGAACTTTCGCACACTTACTATCTTTCATGGTAAAAATTACTCCCCAAGTTAAAAAGTATCGAAATATTGAGATGGGGTCAAGAGAGTATTAGTGTAATCTCAAGAAAAAAAAGTAATATATTAGAATTACACCTTTCTTGTTTACAAATTTGAAATAGGATTGAATTTATAAATTTGCAACTTCGATTGGATCTTTTTGTCTGGCCTTTGAATAAAATGTCTAGTTTTCATGGTTTCAATGGTGTTTTTTGAACATTTAGACCTTGTGAGAACCAAATGAAGAGCATACATATTTAGTGCAAAATTCGGCACCGGGTTTAGTATTACTTTCTTGTGAGTTTCTTATGATTAATTCTGCTCTGTCCTTTGGAATTGAATTTTGTAAATCTCTATTAAAAACAAGTTTTCTTAATTCTTGGATTTCAGTTCGGAGTTGATGTATTTCCTCATAAAGAAGTGTTAGTTTGTCTTCTTCTGTCTCAAATGAACTTTTTATGAAGAAAAGCAAAAGAAACAACATCAATAAAAAAACTTTTAAAAAATATTATTTTTTGAATGAAAAACGATTAAAATAAGATTTCATTCAAAAATAATGCTTTTGAAAAATATCTAAAATATACTTAAATTATAATATATTAATGAACTTTATAGTAAATGAAAATTTGAATGTTTGTAAATTTTTAACCTTCACTTATGAATTTTAATGTGGTAATATTGGTTACTGGTATAATTAAATCTAGATGTCACTTATCAATATTTCCGACATGTGACAATGCTGTTATTTCGTTGTTTTTTGTTATTTCAATTATACTTTGCATTCCTTTTATGTATGTATTTACTTCTATTGTCAGGCAAACTGTTGCATGCTAAGATCAGTCATAATGTAAACCTCTCAATTTTATTGTCGTGGGAAGTATCTCAATTCCTTCAAAAAAATTGAAAAACTATTTAATTTTAAAAATATAATACTTTTAATTAGTTAATTAATTGGAGATATTTTTTAAAAATCACTTTTGATAATACTTTTGAGAACTTTAATTAAAAAAAATATATTCAAAAATATCCAGGATATCAAGAGGGAATTGTTCCTTATGAGGTATATAGTTATGATGTATACCTCATAAGGAACAATTCCCTCCTTAAAACGAGAAAACTTGTTCGAAATTGTTTATCATTTCGAACAAGTTTTCTCGTTTTTAATAAGAAACTAAAGGCTATGAGGCACTGATTATATATTAGTGCCTCACAGCCTTTAGTTTCTAATAGATAGCTGGGAAACTTTCTCCAAATGATAAGTTATTCAGAGAAAGTTTCCCAGCTATCAAGAGGGAATTGTTCCTTATGAGGTATATAGTTATAATGTATACCTCATAAGGAACAATTCCCTCCTTAAAATCGTAGACATTTTTATACTTATTAATCAACCCTTCAAAATCATATTCCTCTGAAAAGTTATTTTATTAAAATTTAGAATTTTAATAAATATAGAGTTTGAATTTCATACAATACCTATATATTTTCAATAATGGAATTTGAAAACCATTCTCAAAAGTTCTCAGAAAACCTTTTTTTCATTAATTTTAAGAAATCTGAGTATTAAATTAAGTGATAAATTCGTTTGACACTACTTTAATTTTTAAATTCAAAAAATTATATGTGCTTCTTAAAATGACTCAAAAAAATTTTATTATAAAATAATATATAATATTAAAAATCCCACAACATTTTTTTACTTTACATAATCGTACTTCCTCGACGATTAATTTTCACTCAATTTCTATCATTGACCGAACTAAGCATGCAACAAAACAAGTTTATTCAAAGCCAAAAAGAAGGATAAAGGATTGTTATTTTGTATTTTAACAGTTATAAGTACTTCACTCGTAGTTTTTTCAAATTTTACATACATATATTTTTTTATAGCTCTTTCAAATACAAATGCAAACATCTTAGCATTGGTTGTAAAGTTTTTTCAAACATTTTCAATTGTTTTGTATTTTGATGGAATACCCAAAATTTTAATTATCTACAAAGTTATTGGAGGGAAGATATTTCACTACATATCGATAATACTATTATTTATTCTTGGATTTTTCTAAGGTAAAAAGGTAATATTTTTGGCCTAGGAAAAATTTTTATAAATACATATAATGTCCCCCGTTTGTTGCTAAAAAAATCCGCCAGCTAAAAAACGGTTATTTTCCCTCAAAAAATGGCAAATCTGGTAGTTTTGGGTATCGCCCCCATCTAAAATGAGCATTTTTTGACACTCGAGTGTCAAATTCAATGTAATGGCTCAAGAGTGAGGTTGATTCCAGACTTCAATATGAGCATTTGAATCACATATGTGATCCAGTGTTTACCCATATGGTTTTGTCTGGATCTCAAGAAATCTTATCAGATAATTTAGGATTAATTTATTTGAGGATCCCAATAAGTGATAAGAGCATCTTTAAGCTAAACCTAATGCAATCATAATTTAAAAGTTAAAAAAATATTGACAATTATAATAATTTCAATTAAAAGATATTTATTTTAATGATGTTTTAAGTGAGGAATCAATTTTTTGGGAGTCTTTAGATTTGAAGTCTTTTCTTTGCTCATGGAATCAAAATCTGGTTTAAATTCATTCGGTGCCGATGTAACAGTAGCTTGCATAAATCTTAGCGTTTGTGCTTGATTTTTTTGCTGTGGTGTAACAATTGGAGCCTCTCCTTGCAAAACCATAATGGATGATTCATCACTTCCATTTTTTTTACCCATTTCAAAAATAATAATTTTACATGTTTTCAAAAAAGTTTGAATATAAAATGAGATGAACAAGGAAGTTTTGGCTATTCTATTATGCTGCGATAGTATGAGCAAAGATGAATAAAAATGATATCAAAAATTGAGAGTTTCTAATTTAAAATGTAGAGTTCATTTTCTCACTTTTTTTCCATAATTTTATTTTTTATATTCATTGGATTTTATTATTATTAATAACAATAAATAATTGAATCTGTGTAAAAATGCTCTAATTTTATCTATATTTTGAAAAATTTGGATTTGCTGGAAATTTTTTTTTAAATGACATATAATTATTCGTTACATGCTGTTAGATTACACACTAGGCTATTGTAAATAGAATGCTGAATAAATTTATGAGCATTTGAGAGTTTTAAAATTCATGCATAAATTTGTTTTTGATCGAATGAAGGATGAAGAAATTTGTGATAATCAAATTGTATTCCTTATTATTACAGATTATAAAAAGTACTGTTTTAATCAAATACAATTAATATTCAAATTTGAAATTTTATTAATATGAAATCCAATACAATTCTCCTCTTTTTGATATTTGGTACATAACGTTTAGTTTGGATAGTGATGCCGATTTGGAAGATAATCCAAGATTTTCCAAAATCTAAAAAATGATATTTTCCTTGACGATTATTTTCTTGATTTTTTCATTTTCAAATTTTTTTTGGAATTTTTTATCTATCAAAACATCAGATCTTAATCGACGAAAACCTTTGTTTTTAGCTATTTAATCTATAGGCACCAAACACAGGTATTCCGGGAAAATGCAACTTGTAATTTTGAATGAATTCGGAAGAAATTGAGAGATGAGGAAGGAAAAAAGGAAGGAAATAAAAAAAAATCAAAATCTTATAATTTAGTTCCTTACATGATTATATGCAAACTTCGTTCAACGAAAAAAATTTGTATAAGGTTTTTTCTCAAATAAAAAATACGTTTGAATTTCTTTTATATATAAATTTGAATAGAAATCATGTAACAAGCAAATCATATTTTCCAGGAAAATAAAAAATTGAATACTCGATAGGATTTTTCTTGGTCGTAAATTGTTCTTTCATCTTAAACATATGCAAAACTTTATCTATCAACGCAATGGAATGACATACAACATGTTTGACTATTTATATATCAAACTTATTCAATACACAATCGTTTGTTAAATCATTATTGGAACAAAGTCTCGTTCATTACACTTCTGCGTATTGGAAAATGCATAAAATTACATAGATCGGCAATACCATAACTATGGTAAAATGATTCCTGCTTGTTAGCCTTTCAGATACAAAAAAATCTTTATTTTACGATTGAACTAGTATTATTCTGATTAATTATCCAAATATGTTACAGATGTATTCCTTTTTATTCACTATTTTATAGAATTTTACATCCGAGATCAATTTCAATAATAAAGCGCATCAATTCGGCTATATACTTATTCAGATCCTGCTATATTTACTCTTGTGTTTGAATAAACATAATTTTTATTTTACATCATATCTTCCTGAAAATCTTCCCAAACTTAAATAATTTACTTCCGAAATTGAAATTAACTTCCAAATCGGCATCACTAGTTTGGAACTACATATCAGATTTCTTTTCATTTTTACAAAATCGGATTAAAAAATTTTTTTTAAATATTAACCATGTTTGTATATATTTCATTGCTAATAAGTATGAGAGTTCTTTACATCTATTCAAAGCGAACTCGGAAATCATTTAATATCACAATGTAAACTATTCAAAATGTCTTCACGGTTTTTATTTGTCTGTAGGGTTGTTAAAAATATCAAAAAATTAGCGTTTTGAAGACACCATGGTGTCTTATAATTTTTCCTTCCTTATTGGCGTGTAGAAATAAATGCGCCAATAGATTGAAGAAGAAGAATTGTTTTTCTCTTAATGAACTTTAATCCTTTTGATATAAGAATATTAAAAACATTAATATAATTTCGATTTCGGAAATTACATTTTCAAATTTTTTGTCGATTCGGAAATAACAGGATCCCGCATCCAACACGCAACAACAAAACACAAAACACACTTTTTGATTCTTTCATCGTTTTAATCGTAATTTATGTAATACATGATGTGGATAAATTTTACAAAAATAGAACCTATATTATATTTTTTTTTTTCAAAGATTCTTGCAAATCATCAAAAATAATTGTATTTTAAAAAACGATCAAATTATCCTTTCATTATTTTAAACTTAAATTAGTTTTTATGATTGACTAAAGCAATCATATTTATTCATCATTAAATAAACAAAAAAATATTATTTGAGAGTTATTTCAAAAAAAACACATTGAATTTATTAATTTGTCTCAATTTCAGTATTATAAATTTTTATAATTTCAATATTTTGAAATACACTTTTTAATATTTCAATATTTATGATATTTCAATGTATTAATTGGTCTCAAATTGAACTTCTCAAATATAAGTTGGCCTATTCAAATAATAAAATTAAATAATATTTAAAATAATAAATAAAAGTGATTGAGGTCATAGCAAAACGGCTTTTTCAGTCATTAATTCTTAAAAATAAAAAGGGTAAAAACTAAATAAAATGGGTAAAATTCAATAGTGTCTGTGCTATCGTTCAATTTGAAGGGGTCTTTTGAAACCGCAAGACACATTGAATTTTTGAATAGTGTATTATGGTTTGACAGACACCAATGAAAAAAATAAAATGATATTTATTTTAAATATATAAGATCCTTATATAAAATATAAATATTTTATCCTTTTATTTTCTTGTTTTAGAAATGTTTTTTATTGAAAAATCAATAAAACTAACTCCAAAATAAAATTTTTGATTTAAAGACACTATGATGACACCAGGCAAATCTTCCAAGACACCTATCGTCGGGAATCTAACAACCCTATTTGTCTGTAATCTGACTTCGTGAAGCGTTGGATTCAGAAGTATCTTTTCTGTTTTTTGATGTATTATCCGCTATCACGAATATTCAAATATCAACATATTATGCATATATTTCTCATATCAAAGATTTTTGAAATTTTCAGATTTTTTTCGAAACCAATACATATCTTTTCTTATGATATTTAGAAAGCACCTTATGCAATAATTATATGTCACCATTATCAGCCGGAATTAGGTTTTCCGTTCAAAAGTTACGTTTCTGTCACCACCTATAAATCAAAATTTCACCAAAAAAGGGGTATACTCCCTGCTTGAATTGTGTTAGATACAAACTTTAAAAATTGCATTAAGTTAACTACTGTGATTCGGTCGGAGACTTTTCATATCCAAGATATTTGCTATGATTGGGCAATCTTTTATGAAAAATCAGTTTGGTATCGACTTAGGCTCAACATTTGAAGGCTTTGACTTCAAATTTGTTAACCTATTTCAAAAAAAAAATTATTGATTTATGGGCCTATAATTGATTTATAAAAAAAGCATAATAAATAAATCAAATGTAGTTTTACTCATGTTGAATGAGACTTTCTAAATGTCTACAAACGCTTGCGAGCTGCAGGTAACATCAAAGCAGTTCCCTTGCCACTCGTCTGCTCAGTAGGCTGGTTAGAAAACGTATTTTTATGGCAATAAGAACCAAAGTTTACTTCACCATCTTGTGGTTCATAAGTATAGAACTGTTGTGGATATTCAAAATAGGTATTAATTGGAGCTTGAGACTCTTCAGTGTCGCCATAGTTGGCCACTTGGCTACCGCCCAAGTCGGGATAATAAGGATACCTCGAATTCATTTGAAATGATAACTCCTGGTTTTTGTAAATCATGGAAAAGATAAGAACGGTTTAATAGAAATAATAAAATGAAGTGATCATCAGCACAGGTTATTATACAATAGTGTTGAGAAAATAGTGTTTCAACACATTTGAATTTTGAAAAGTTTACAAAATCTTTGTTGACGACGCTTTCAAAAATTGAGAAAAATATAAAATATAATTAATAATGATTCAAGATCCTGATGATTCCTGGAACAATTGTTATGATCTACAAAAATTTTTGCCAAAAATGTTGTCAAAAAAAATGTACTCGGAAATATAATATTTTGCGCCTTCTTTGATGAGAAATAGATCTTATTCAATTAGAGATAGTAAAATATGCTAATGAATCGTGATATTTCGATAAATTTAAATTTTCATTTTGCAAAACAATAGTTATTTTTGATCCCATGTGGTAGTAAAATAGCAACTGTAACATAATTGTTGTCAAATCTGAACTTTTTAAATTCTTTTTTGATTTGTTTAATATTTCTTGGTTATGTACTTGCTATGAAGTTAGCATGTAAGCAAGAAGTAAATAATATTTGTAATTGGCAATGATAATTATTTAAAAATTAATTAATATCTGCTGTAGGTTGGGTTCTAACTGTTATTCTGATATTGGATAGGAGTTTGTAAATCTTGTTCAGTCTAAATTAAGATCTCTTTTAGCTTATCCAATGCTAAATGAAGGAACTTCAATTTTATGAAAAAATTTTTTTGGGGCCAAAGAGTAAATTATGACAGATTATATTGATGATAGAGTTATTAGTTTAGCATAATCTTGTTTGAAAAGATAGGCTTATTTTATTCAAATAAGTGAATGCAAAACAATTCCAAAAGATTTTTCTATGCATAAAGATTGAAAAAACAGCGTTCTGCTTTAGATTGTCAAACCTTATTTATAAATTAAGATGCTTTGGTTGAATTATATGTTTATGAATGAGAAATTTAATTAGATATTCATATTGAGAATTTTAATCTTGGTAAATGGTGTGTCATCATCAATGGTTAGATGTTGGTATGGTTTTAACTAAAATTTCTCAACAATATTAAGTTCATATTCATGAACATTTCATTAGTTTTTCATAAAATAATTAGACTAATGATACCTATCTATTTTTTCAATTCCATTTTTCAAAAATTCTTCCTTACATCGCTGAAAAAAAACGAGCAAAATTATCGTTCTAAGAAAACTTTTGCCAAATGAAAGGAAAGACCCGATTTCATTTGAAACTGAAGGCGGGGTCCTCGAAGAGGCGAAGGCTGCATTCAATTCAATGGCAGAAGTATTTACCAAAGAAAAAAGTTATCAAAAATATCAATACGGAATTCAAAAGATGTTTGATTTTTTTAAAGATGATTATGATAAAAACATCAAACTTCTCACAATGGTTCAAGAAATGAATGCCCAAATTGTGTTCAATGCGACAAAAATCAATTTAATCATGAAATCAACATATTCTGACAGTGAATCCCTCACAAAACTCAAACAAGACTTTGATGATGCCACAGCAATGGTCCAATCTATTCACAAATCAGAGATTCGCTCAAAAGAGATTTTAAAAACACTTAGAGAGCAATTAGCCCAATTAACTCAACAAGTACAAAGTGGACAAGCATTTAACTTCGGTACGCAAAACTCAATTTTTGAAATTTCACAAGATGTCAAAAATCTTCGAAATGAAAAGCAAAAAGATCATGATGAGCTTACAAAAATCCAAGAATCGATTGATGCCGAAAATATTGGCATGAAAAGCGTTACAGAAGCCCAAGCAACACTTGAAAATACTTTAAATAAAGATACAAAGACTCTTTCTCATGTAGACAAACGTCTTCAGACTCTTACAGCCGAAAACGAAGAAACAAGCAACGCAATTATCGAATTAAAGCCAATTGTAACCGATGTTTCAACAAAAATTGAAAATGCAAAGAAAACAAAGAACGAACTTACAGAAAAAATCAATGTATTAAAGAATACGAAGACAGATGTTACTAATTCCTTCAATACAGTAAGAAACGAAGTGAAAGCAAGAAAAGACAGATTATCTCGACGAAAAGAGCATCTCAATGAGGTATTAAGATTCCAATCCCATAAGAATACGAGTATACAAGCCATAAAAGAGCAAATTACTGATATTGACAACGAAATTGAAGAATCAAAAACAGCATTAAAGGAATCCAATGATAAAAACAGTGAATTGGTCACAGCATTGGAAGATGAGATGAAAAAGGCCGACCAAATTGCAGAAGAAAAAGCAAAAGTCCGAAATCAAATCAAAGAATTGCGACCAAAGATCGTCGAAGCAGCTTTAAAGGTTTCTTCCGAACAGAATGAGAAGATAGTGATGAATAGACAACTCAGCGGGGCTCAGGCTTCACTTGCAGAAGTAAATCAATTACAATATGAAGAAAAACATGCAATTCAAGAGATAAAGAACGCAACACAGACACTTAAGAGTGAAACTGCTACAATGAAGGGATCAATGCAATCAGATAAAGACAAAATCATCCAAATTTTCCAAGAAATTGATAAAACTCGGACATCGACCTTCAAATTGCAGGCATCCATCAATGCAATGAAAGATTCCGAGCTTGTGGCTGCTGAAGAGAACGAAAGATTGATGAAAGAACATGCAAATCTGATGTCAAAATCAAATAGACAGACAGACTTATCGGAACAGCTCAGAGATGAAAGAAATAAGATTTTTAGTCAGATAAAGAGATACATCATATATCATGCGTGTTTGCACACTATATATAGTTAACCTTAAATTTAGTGTGTATATAGGTACTAAAATAAAATTCTTTGGTTTATTTAGATACCAAAACATGCTTCTAAAATCTCTTTTTTTAGAGGACAATGATAATTTTGTCACTTTTCCAGACGACAATAAAACATCCTCCAATTGACCTTAGGGAAGTCTGAAATCACTCTCACTCTATAGCCAAAGCATTTGATTTGACACTCACGTGTCAGAAAACTGAACGTATTTGATGGGGGCGATACACAAAACTTTCAGATTTGTCGTTTTTTTGAGAGGAAATAACCGTTTTTTGCTGATTGGTGGACATTAATTGATGCATATAATTAGAATTTACATATTATATATAACAAAAAAAAAAAAAAAAAAAAAAGGTAGTGGGGCTTCCAGGCACTTCGTGCCCTCTAGCCCCGAAGATGTTTAGTATAAATGAAGTTTTTATTCGGAAAATTGTTAGTCTTCTGGTGTGAATTCGGAGGACTCTTCTTCTTCCTCCATTGCTTCTGGGAAGAAGCCTTCTTCTGGGTCGAAAACATTATATAATGTGTCGCTTTTCACAAATTATATATGTTTTCATGTTTTGTCACTTTTCTGTCACTTTTCAGGGAAAAACATTTTTATTATTATATATAAATGAATTTTACAAAACCACCGTTACCGTTCTTTGGAAATAAGAGTAGATGTAAAGATATTATATTGAGAGAACTTAAGAAACTACCGAATGGTCTAACATTTGTAGATTTGTTCGGTGGAAGTTTCTATATATCCCATTTGTGCCATATAATATTCCCAGACTCAAAGATTATATGCAATGACTTCGACAACTATATGGACCGTCTCAAACATATTCCAGACACTAACAAAATATTGAGTGAGTTAAAAGAAAAGATACCTATAGGTAAGATGGAACGTATACCATTAGATAACAAAAATATTGTGAGAGAGGTTTTGAAAAAAGCAGAATATATAGACTGGGATAGTATATCTGCTAGACTATTATATAGTGGTGCTATAAGAGTTCATGACATTGAAACACTTATGTCAAAAGTTTTATATCTTAACTATACAAATGTTTTCAAAGAGGACATAGAAAAATATATTGAGGGTATAGAGTTTGTGAGATGTCATTGGACAGATTTGTATGAAAAATATAAAGACAAGGAAAATGTTTTCTTTATAGTGGACCCGCCGTTCTATAACACATGGGATTTTCAATACCAAGTAGACTGGACTCTGAGAGACTCTTTAGAAACTTTAGACGTTTTACATAACTGTCCATGCTTTTACTTTACATCCGATAAAAGTGGTTTGGAAACCGTTATGGGATGGTTAGAGGACATACATGACTATGAGTTTATATATGACAAGATAGAATATGAGAGAGGTCCTATAAACTGGAGAAAGTGTCATAACAAAGAAATTTTATTAGTAAGTAAATGTGGTTTGAAATAGGACTACTTGTTTTAGGTTTTTTCCATTGTGTCATTTATTTATTTGACGTGGCAGAAAAGTACAGAGAATATGAAGATGAACCAATGCCTGCAAATGTTCAGCATATGTACTCGTAAGAGATATTTTTATCTAATATTAAATGGACGCACAGAACTTAGCGAATGCACAGCAACCTGGACAACCAAACCCAGAGAATATTCCAAATGAAGTTAGAATACAAACTGCAATGGCAAACTATGGTCAAGTGCCAACAGATGTACAAATGCAAACTGCCATGTCAAATGACGCTGCGTTAGGTTTGCCACCATGGTATGCAAATATGAGATGGAAAGAGTTTTATACAAACCCTGAAGTGGGATATAAACAACTTTATGCAGATGACGCGAACACAGGAGTTGACCCAGAATATGTTTTCTACCAGAGGAGAAACAGAATGTATGAGCTCCAGTTAAAGAATGCTATGGAACTCAACAGGAAACGTAAGAGACTAGGCGGATATTAGATTTTTACATATAGTAAAATGGGTTTCTTCAGTAGTATTGGAAACTTCTTCAGAAGAGTTGGAAGAGGTATATGGAATGGAATAAAAACCGTAGGAAGAGGAATTTGGAACGGAGTCAAAAATATTGGTAAAAGGGTAGGTCAGTTTGTTGGTATTATACCTAAAGACCCTGAACCAGAAGAGCAAGCTCCTGTTATACAACAGCCTGAACCTGCACCACAGTCTAGTTGGCAACCAAATCCAACACCTCAACCGTATTAAAAAATTATATTTTTACCGTTCGATAGTAGTTGTATATGAAACTAAGTTCTAAGTAAAACGCATGGTATAATGGAATTATTCTTTTTCTTCCATCTGTAGTAAACCATACTTGAAAGTCTGAAATACTCTTATATACGAAAAAAAGAGATCTGACATTGTGTCAGATCTCAGTAAAAGTGACATTTACATGTCAAAAAAATAGAATGAGTTTAAGTAATTAAAATTGAGGGTGAGAGTAGTATTGTATGAAATAATATCTCTCACCCTCCAATTCATCCTATGGCGCCGAAAAAATTTTGGTGAAATGCGACCACATTTCACCAAAATTTCTCGGCGCCATATAGAGAACTAGAGCCTGTGAGGTACTGATACTATCCATGTACCTCGCAGGCTCTAGTTCCAAGCCAAAATGGCTAAAAATTGCCCGCAATTGTTCACATTGCGGGCAATTTTTAGCCATTTTGGCTGGGAATTGGAGGGTGAGAGTAGTATTGTATGAAATAATATCTCTCACCCTCCAATTCATCCTATGGCGCCGAAAAAATTTTGGTGAAATGCGACCACATTTCACCAAAATTTCTCGGCGCCATATAGAGAACTAGAGCCTGTGAGGTACTGATACTATCCATGTACCTCGCAGGCTCTAGTTCCAAGCCAAAATGGCTAAAAATTGCCCGCAATTGTTCACATTGCGGGCAATTTTTAGCCATTTTGGCTGGGAATTGGAGGGTGAGAGTAGTATTGTATGAAATAATATCTCTCACCCTCCAATTCATCCTATGGCGCCGAAAAAATTTTGGTGAAATGCGACCACATTTCACCAAAATTTCTCGGCGCCATATAGAGAACTAGAGCCTGTGAGGTACTGATACTATCCATGTACCTCGCAGGCTCTAGTTCCAAGCCAAAATGGCTAAAAATTGCCCGCAATTGTTCACATTGCGGGCAATTTTTAGCCATTTTGGCTGGGAATTGGAGGGTGAGAGTAGTATTGTATGAAATAATATCTCTCACCCTCCAATTCATCCTATGGCGCCGAAAAAATTTTGGTGAAATGCGACCACATTTCACCAAAATTTCTCGGCGCCATATAGAGAACTAGAGCCTGTGAGGTACTGATACTATCCATGTACTCGCAGGCTCTAGTTCCAAGCCAAAATGGCTAAAAATTGCCCGCAATTGTTCACATTGCGGGCAATTTTTAGCCATTTTGGCTGGGAATTGGAGGGTGAGAGTAGTATTGTATGAAATAATATCTCTCACCCTCCAATTCATCCTATGGCGCCGAAAAAATTTTGGTGAAATGCGACCACATTTCACCAAAATTTCTCGGCGCCATATAGAGAACTAGAGCCTGTGAGGTACTGATACTATCCATGTACCTCGCAGGCTCTAGTTCCAAGCCAAAATGGCTAAAAATTGCCCGCAATTGTTCACATTGCGGGCAATTTTTAGCCATTTTGGCTGGGAATTGGAGGGGAGAGTAGTATTGTATGAAATAATATCTCTCACCCTCCAATTCATCCTATGGCGCCGAAAAAATTTTGGTGAAATGCGACCACATTTCACCAAAATTTCTCGGCGCCATATAGAGAACTAGAGCCTGTGAGGTACTGATACTATCCATGTACCTCGCAGGCTCTAGTTCCAAGCCAAAATGGCTAAAAAATTGCCCGCAATTGTTCACATTGCGGGCAATTTTTAGCCATTTTGGCTGGGAATTGGAGGGTGAGAGTAGTATTGTATGAAATAATATCTCTCACCCTCCAATTCATCCTATGGCGCCGAAAAAATTTTGGTGAAATGCGACCACATTTCACCAAAATTTCTCGGCGCCATATAGAGAACTAGAGCCTGTGAGGTACTGATACTATCCATGTACCTCGCAGGCTCTAGTTCCAAGCCAAAATGGCTAAAAATTGCCCGCAATGTGAACAATTGCGGGCAATTTTTAGCCATTTTGGCTGGGAATTGGAGGGTGAGAGTAGTAAAAAAAAAAAAAAAAAAAAAAAAAAGGTAGTGGGGCTTCCAGGCACTTCGTGCCCTCTAGCCCCCCGTCAGTTTTTCTGTCACTTTTCAGGTAAAAACATTTTTATTATATATATAAAATGAATTTTACAAAACCACCGTTACCCTTCTTTGGAAATAAGAGTAGATGTAAAGATATTCTATTGAGAGAACTTAAGAAACTATCGAATGGTCTAACATTTGTAGATTTGTTCGGTGGAAGTTTCTATATATCCCATCTGTGCCATACCGTATTCCCAGACTCAAAGATTATATGCAATGACTTCGACAACTATATGAACCGTCTCAAACATATACCAGACACTAACAAAATATTGAAAGAGTTAAAGAAAAGATACCTATAGGTAAGATGGAACGTATACCATTAGATAAGAAAAATACTGTCAGAGAGGTTTTGAAAAAGGCAGAGTATATTGACTGGGATAGTATATCTGCTAGACTATTATATAGTGGTGCTATAAGAGTTCATGACATTGAAACACTTATGTCAAAAGTTTTATATCTTAACTATACAAATGTTTTCAAAGAGAACATAGAAAATATATTGAGGGTATAGAGTTTGTGAGATGTCATTGGACAGAGTTGTATGAAAAATATAAAGACAAAGAAAATGTTTTCTTTATAGTGGACCCGCCGTTCTATAACACATGGGATTTTCAATACCAAGTAGACTGGACTTTGAGAGACTCTTTAGAAACTTTAGACGTTTTACATAACCATCCATGCTTTTACTTTACATCCGATAAAAGTGGTTTGGAAA